ATATAAATTAGAACCTTCTATCTGCAATATTGGTGAATCAGAACACTCCATACTCTTAGGCACAATATGTGTAACTATACTTACATTCATAAGTAGCGATTCCTCATAAGATGTGTAAGTGAGTGAAATAATTAATACCATCTTTATAGCACAATATGATACCAAAAAGTGAGAAGAAAATTGTAGCTCATTACTCAAAAAAATTGGACAAATTGTCAATAATGATGAATAATGGTTTTTTAAGTAGCAATTATAGCCTGTTTAACCCTTTTTATGTCTATTATTCTGTGTTATAAGTAAAATCACTTAAATATTTGGTAATCTACTGTTGTAATGTTTGAATTAAAATTACTGGAAGAACTTAGATTAAATCAAACGTTTTGTTTAAGAAATTAAATTGAATTGTTTAATAAATGAATTTTTTTCTTTAAAAAGTAGACAAATATCGTAAACAACATCAGTAAAAAAAAAAAAAAGTGGCATTTTTTAAAGTAAATAGAACTACTAAATAATTTAATTAAGAAACGTAATAGTTATATATGTATATATATCAGGAAAAAAAAGGAAAGAAAGACAGAAAAAGAATCAAAACATTAAATGTGTGCTTGCACGTGTGTTTAAGGTTATTTTTATCTTTTAAATAAAATAAGCATTCTTCCATCTCCCAAAAAAAAAAAAAAAAAACACACATCACTTGCTATTCTTTTTGAAGTGGAAGTAGGGATGACAATGTGGACGGGGCGGGGCACGGATCGCCATCCCCATCCCCACCCCGCCTCTTAAAAAATTCTTCATTCTCGTCTCGTATCTCGAACGAGATAGAATTTGTCATCTCATTCTCGTCCCAAACGGAGATGGGGATCCCCATGGAACAAACGGGGTCTTGTTTTATTGTTTGTGTTCGTCTCGTCCCGTCTCATTTTGTCATGTTTTGATATATTTTATAATAAACACACACAATTTGCATAATTTTATTTCACAAGTGTCAAATGACTTACTATAAGTCATTATTGACGAGCAAAATGGGACGAGGTGGGCAAATCCTATCCCCATCCAAAAAATTGCAAGACGGGCAAAATGGGACGGTGGGCAAATCCTATCCCCATCCAAAAAAATTACAAGACAGGCGGGACGACCTCGGGTCGTGTCATTTTGCCATTCCTAAGTAGAAGCTAATTAATATATATCTAACCTCGCTCATATAAAAATCACTTTCCACTCCTAAAAGTTAAAATCCTTAGTAAACATGTATCTCTTCATGGATGTTACCAAAAGCTTACTAAAATTTATCGATGAAGACTATACATTCAAGTTTAACACCACCATGAATCAATAGAAAAGTAAGTCACATTACTAGGTCTCATTGAAAACAGATCTCAACCATTCAAAATTATAAAAAAATGTCAATCTTTTTTCAACCAATAAGACATATCTTGATTAATTATGATCTATGTGATACATATTATTTAAAGTATATTTGATTAATTAAGATACATAATATTAATTATGATATATGTATATTTAAAATATATAAAATTAACTAAAATACATGATATTGATCAGTTGTCCGTACTGCAAATAATATGACCATGAAAATATATATATATATATATATATCGTGGAAAATAATGATGACCGTTCAAAAAAAAAAAAAAAAGAGCAGTTGAAACTTCAAAAGGCGTAAAAAAGATAACACAATTTTATTATTTAATTCGAAAGAAATTAATTTCATAATATGTAAAAATAAATAAATAAATAGTAAATAGCATGTGGTTTGTGTTGTTGTATAGTTAATTTTTAATAAAATCAATAATTTAATATATATTTTTTACATAATAATTATACTAAGTAGGTTTGGAGCGTGTAACATAAAATATAAATATTAAAAAATAGTTAATTTATGAGTAATATATTGAATAAATTTGAAGTTAATATAATAAAATTGATTTTGATAAATTTTGATTATATAAAGAAATAGCAAATAAAACATCTGAATTTTTTTCCTTCTTAAATATTTTTTTTTCTAGGCCATTCATGGCTAGTTATCGTACATAGGACTCGCATGCGGAGTTATGATTAAAAAAAATATATGAGAATTCACCATATAAATTATATTTTCTATATTTTAAAAAAAGAAAATAATAATGCTCTAAAATTTAATAAAAAATCATATTTTTTTGTAAATAAAATTTTATAAAAAATAAAAAATCTATTGGATGAAAATTTTCATAAGAAATGATAATTAAAGTAATAAGTTTTAAATAATAAGAATAATATAATTTGAAATATATGCTTATTTTAAAATATAAAAACATATTATATATATTTCTTTCTCGCCAAGTTGTTTGACAAACCAAAAAAATAATGATCAATCATTTATAATTTTTGCCCAATAATCTATAATAATAAAAATCAAATTAAATCAATGAAAAAAAAAAAGAGGCTCATGCGTGCAAGACTTTAGGGGGAAAAAAAGAAATAATATGAGAAAATAAACAATAATTATTGGGATTATAAAAAAAAAAAACTAAGGCCATAACAAATTCATCCGTATTTAACCAAAATAACCCAAAATAACAATTTTCTTCCTATTTGTATTTTTTTTTTGTCTTCTCTCCTTGACCAATCTATTAGGAAAAAATCATAAAGTTTAGAAGAAAATAATGAAACTCAATCAATCTAATTTGTTTATCAAATGAGCGAAAGCAAAACTGGAGGGTATTAAAGATATTAATGGCTTTTCTACTCTAATTTCAGGTATTTATCTATCAAAGAGCTTAGTCTGACAATTTAATAGCAAAAATTATTGGGTTATGAAAATTCAAGGCCAACACTATCAATGTAGGTTATTTGGACCTAGACTATTAGTTTTTGAGTAAATTTTATCATTCTCTATAATTGTCAACCTTTTCACTCCTGTTTATAATTTTTTTTTTAATAATAGTTAGTTTTGAAGAAAGTTTAGATGATTTTGTTGTTTATGAATTTGACTTTTGTTATTAGTTAATTAATAGCATGTAATTGATCCATTCAGTAAAAAAATGAATTATATATCTTTTAAAGAATTTAAATTGATTTTGAAAAAAAACTATTTAATAATAAAAACAAAAAAAACTATTTTGAAAAAAAACTATTTGAAATTCAAGAAACCAAACAAAAACATCCGTGTGATATAAAAACAAAAACAAAAACAAAAAAATAAAAATAAATTTATGAAAATTTACAATAAATGTATTCCAAGAAAAAGAAATAATGGATGGTGTAGTAGAAGCATCGCTGTACAGCGTTAACATTCTTGTCCAAGCAAGGAGCAAGTTATAAAAAACGGGGACAAAAAAGGGAATGAAAAAGAAGAAAGCAAATACATGAACGTAACTCGCCACCACCACTAAATGGCATGACAACAACCAACCAAACAATATAAAAACATTAAATTGACAGCTGAAAAAAGACAGGAACGGCTAAAAGAAATTGAAAAAGAGAGAATGAAAGACCGAAAGACATGAGAAGTACATCACACACAGTCAGCTAAAAACATTAGTTTTTTTTTTTTTTTTGTAATTGTAAGTTAGTTTTTTATTTTTGAAAACGAATTAATTAATTTTCTTATTTTAAAAATTAATTATTTAATTTTTTATATTGTTAATTTTTCTTATAACTTAAACTTTTTCACTTTTTTTTTAAAAAATAAGTAACAAATTTGAAAATATTCATAAAAAAATAACATCTTAAAAAAAATAAATAATATTAAATTAAATATTATGAAAGTTAAAGAAAAAATTAAATAATTAATTTTTTTAAAAAAAGATAGTTAATTTAGTCATTTCTTTAATACAACTTGATTTGTAAGAGGCACTTAAATGAAAAATTGAAATTGGCAACTAGACGAAGCCAGGAGCCATGTCTAATAATTATGAAAATGACGGACATGGAAAAACAAACGACTAGCTGGATTATATCATTTCAATGACTGTACGGCTCCTAAATTAGACAGTATAAGAGAGAACAAAAACAAAAATATAGCGGCAAACAACGATGGCCGCTAAAAAAACAGAAGGAACAGTTGAAACGTGAAAGGCAGAAAAGGAAAGCGCGTGACCAAAATAGATAGGGAAGCCAGCCGTTCCCTCCTATGTGGACCTGAGTCAGCATGGATGGAGAAGGATAGATTATAATTTAGGCACGTTTCTATGAATATAAAACCTCAAATTAGCCTAGCAATTTTAGAGTAGATTATAAATTAGTCCTTTATGTTTTAAAACTTCATTTTTTAGTTTATTACGTTTTAATTATATCAATAACTTAAGTGCTTTATCTGTTTTTGTTAGATTAATGATTTTTTTCTCCTTCACCCATTTATTTTCTCTTTCCTCAACCAAAAATCAAAACAAGAGAAATTTCAAAATAACAATCTATAATTTAAAATAAACTGATAAAAAAATAAAAGTATTAGTGGAATTAAAATGTGACGCACTAAATGATTAATTTTTTAAAAATAAAATTTATTTATCTATTTCTCTAAACGGGAAGAACTAATTTATAATTTACTTTGTAATTATATATTCAGCATGCTTATTTGATAAGATAAGTTTGAATTATGATAACTTTAGTTTTCTTTTCAATAACATATTATGCAATGGAAGAAAACTAACGCATTACTAGCTTTTCAATTAAGTTAAAATATTTTATTGATTAGAGCCCAAATGTTTTAGATTCTCAATTAGGTTTGTTTATCAATTTCTCTATTAAAAAAAAAGTCCAAAACACATTGTTATATTGATTGAAATATGCAAAATTATATTCAAATTTCAGTAACTATAAATATATTGAAAGAATTAGACAATTAAGAAAAGTTCGAAAAGTATAAGTTCTAATCATAAAATCCTTTATTTTGAAAACTTAACTGAAAAAGGGTATATGTATTATAAAATATATATCAGGGACTAAATTGAGCTTTCCTTGTATCAATCACATGTGATTTTTTATGGTTATCCATGACAATGAATGAAATCAAGACTGACAGGTAAGCATTCAGATTTTTTTTTCATAAATAATTTATAAATTAATATTGTTGATTATGAAAATTAAAATATTTTATTTTAAATATCAATTAACGTGTGTCGTTGAAGCACATGTTAAGGACACAGGTTAGAAAAACACATTATAAATAGTTAAGTCTATTCGTTGAATGTTGGCATAATTTTGATTCTGTGAAGGTTGTCCTGCTAAATACAGAAGAGAGAGCAGAGAAGCATCCCTGTAACCTTATCTCAAGCTTTCAAGGATTTTTATTTCGGGAGGGTTAGACAGAGATTTTTATTCTCATATTTAGTTTTCATTCTCTCTCTTCTTCTGTTGTGGAAAAAGGAAGACAAAATCCTTGGCATTGGATTGCAGTGGATTGGATACATTTTGGTGATCAGACTAGAAGGAAGCGATATCTCCCGTTCTTCTTTTAGACAGATTTAAATAGGCATGTCATTTCTTTCTCTCCCTCTCGTGTTCTAATTTTAAGCCCTGGAATTTGTTTGATTGTTTTGGTTTTATATATTTTCTGGGTTTTTTATTTTTTATTTATTCTGATCATTCTTTATACGAATATCGACAAGTGAGAAGAAGAGCTGAATCTGTTTCGAAATGCAGGATTGTAAAAACTGAATGATACAGAATCTAAAAAAGTATTAATGGGATCATTCAAGATCACAAGTAATTGGGAATCGTATTAAAAAAGATGCAGCCTTTGTGGGCTAGAATGACAAAGAGTTGGAAAGATGGCATTTTTTTTATGATCATTTATGCTTTTGCCTCTAAAGGTTATGCTTTGGAATCCTTTGATTTACTCTGATTTGTTAATATCTCTGCACTATTACTGTGCTTTTAGGAGTTTTATGTACCAATCAGCAAAATGCATGACATAATTTTGTGGCGTTCAAAAACTTTTGGACTCATTTCTTTATGTACAGCATTTCTTGTATGCATTTCTGCTCTTTGATTGTAAACTTGTGCTGCATGTCAAGGTTGGTTGCTTCTGTCTTGTATGGATCTTGATGTGTAACAATGAAGAGGAGATCAGGTTTGGTAGGTAGGAGACCAGCACCCAAAGTTTCTCATAGAGCCCGGCAATGGCTTGGGAAGTTTCGGGGGCGTTGGTCTAAGAAATTAATTTCGGATCTGTAACTTTCCCAAGAAAAAGTTGCTTTTAGACGCATTATTTGATCTTATGTTCTCTTCAGAATAGTGAAAGCTGTCAATCTAGTTGGTATCTTTCTCATTGAATTAATACCAGTAAACAGCCAATAAAGTCATTTAGAAAACTCAGGATTTGCGATTTGAATCGGAATCATAGTTTCTTTTATCGCTAATGATTTATAGTTATCATCTTTTTCATGGAATAGATATCAGAGAGCCAACAAATAATATCTTTGATTTCTCTTTCCCATGTTCTCTTCCTGAACATTTAATAACTCATAATTTTCCCAGATGACCTTTTCTTGAATTAAAATCTCATTTTGATTCCTTCTTTCAGTCTGCAGAAGGGTTATGTTGATCTGATGGAAAAAATGGATAATGTCTTGGAAGAATTTCCCCAAGTTGCCAAGAAAGAGGCTCCAGTGCCACCTCCTTTGCCCAGTCCACCAACAAGAAGTTACCATCAAAAGGGGTTTGCAATGGATGGCTCAAAATTAAGAGGATGTAGTTATGTCCATACAGCTACCAGGGATTTGTGGGACCAACTCTTTGATGGAGGCTACAGAGCAGATGTTACGATTAGCACTGATAATGGTGGCTCCATATATGCGCATGCTAGTATTCTTGTATGGCCTTCTTTCTATTTCTGTTGAATATATGATGATAAAGAGTTGATTTAGATTACAAGAAGTATCTAAAAGGAACTGTGATCTGTGTTATCCTAAAGTTCCCTATTTCTTCAGAAAGTATAGCCAATGATCCTAAAGAAATTGGATTCATGGTTTCCTTCCTTGTGGTGAATTTAGACAACCTGCACGTTGTTTGCTGATTTTATTTTTCTGGCGACACATACAACACAATCATCAAAACGTATTTCATCCAAATATCAGCAATAGATTGTGCAGATCTTGTAAATAAAGTCCCATATTTTTCAACTGCAAATATTCATTGTCCAGGCTTCATTAGATATATAATCTGCTACAACAAGTTGTGTTCTGTTAAATTAAAACAGAATCTTATTCATAAACTGAATGTTTCCCAACAGGGAATGGCTTCTCCAGTTATGAAAGGCATGTTAAAGAAAGCAAAAGGCAGTGGTCGTCGACGGTTGTTCTCCATTCATGGTGTTCCACATGATGCTGTTAGAGTTTTTATTCGATTCCTGTATTCTTCCTGGTAACAAATTTTCCCTTATTGGTATTTCTTCAAGAAGAATAAGAAGAAGTGAATGTAGTGTATATAGGACTTTTTAGCATGTTAACACTGCTGTTCTTGTACTAAAACTGTTATTCATGTTCTTTGTGCAGTTACGAGAAAGAAGAAATGGAGGAATATGTGTTGCATTTGCTGGTGCTCTCTCACGTGTTTGTGGTCCCAGCACTGAAGCAAATATGTATGCAGTGGTTAGAACATGATTTTCTTACCTCAGAGAACGTAGTTGACATCTTTCAGCTTGCATTGTTGTGCGATGTTCCCCGGCTTAGCCTCATTTGTCACCGAATGATCTTGAAGAACTTCCCGGAAATTTCCAATACTGAAGGATGGAGAGTAATGAAGAAGAGCCACCCAGCACTCGAAAAGGAACTTCTGGCATCCATGACTGATGAAAAAAATGTAAGGGATTTATTTTTTTTTAATCTTTGCATAGCATTTGTAGACACTTATTTTTAAAGCGGCGAACCTGAATTTTCAAAACCATTTACAGATGCAAAATGAAAGAATTAGAAAATCAAATGAGAGAAAAATCTATTTGCAATTATACGAGGCAATGGAGGCTCTTGTTCACATATGCAGAGATGGTTGTCAGACAATCGGGCCACACGATAAAGATTTCCGAGATGATCAGGCACCCTGCAATTATTCAGCATGCAAAGGACTTGAAATGATCGTCCGCCATTTTGCAAGTTGTAAGTTAAGAGTACCTGGTGGTTGCATCCATTGCAAGAGAATGTGGCAACTATTGGAACTACACTCCCGTCTGTGCATTGATTCAGAAGTTTGTAGAGTTCCTTTGTGCGGGTGAGAGCCTTCTTTCCTTCTCATCCTTTCATTATGACTCGAATAACCTGGTTTTCATGTTAGACTAATCAACCTGAGGAAATTGTGTCATGTCAGGAATTTCAAGGAGAGGATCAAGAAACAATGCAAGAAGGATGAGATTAAGTGGAGAATACTAGTGAAAAATATACTTAAAACAAAGAGCATAGGAGGATCGCCATTCTTTTCATCGGCATTTTCCATGTCTTCTTGATGAAAAAATAAACCAGATTTCAAGTGTAGATTTGTGTAACAATCTTGTAGAAATACGAACAATGTATTTTTTAAAAAGAACTGTTGGTCATTTCTACCTTACTGTGAACAAAAAATAAAAAAAGATGAATCAGCAGATATATCACTTCCTTAATTTGGGAACCATATTTCTAACTTGTAGTGATATAAATATTTATATCCCTGCAGCAAGCATGCATGATGTCCATTTCTCAGCTGAAACTAAGATTCAATGCATCATCGGTATGACTCCCTCTAAGAATAATACCTTAATTTTTAAAATATTTTAAAATTAATAAAAATAATAGTTAGAAAAATCAGAGCAACGAATAATAATATATGTCAATTAAATTCGACAATATATGAAGTTAGAAAAAAAGAAGAAAAGATAAACATTGTTTTATTTATATTTGCTTTGCAATTAAATGAATTTGAACATCAAAACATCAAATTATCTTCATAATAATAACGAAAGGATCAGTGATAATTTCTTCTTCTTTTTTCTCTCTTTCAAATTTAATTATTGCTGCATATCTCCTATTAATTTATTAATTATAATAGAAATAACTAATTCTTTAATATAGAAATAATAATATCATATTTCTTGTATAAATTTTTTTAAAAATTATAATATTTTCTTTTTACTCAAAATATTTCTATTATGAAAATATGATCATTTCTCATTATACTATTGCATGATTAACATCCTAAAAAATAAAATAAGTAATAAAATTTTTGAAATAAACTTCTATATTTAACTCATAAAACTTGGAATTATAATTGAACCAATAAAAAAAAAAATCTAGAAAACACCTAAAAAGTATCATTATATCACAGTCATATCTCTTCTGTATCTTAGTTGCATTCATCACATATCTAAATATGAATTTATTCTTTATTAACTTTTAGTTGTATTCGAACCCATATCTTGTGCATAACCATATCCAATGTGAGCACGATACAAATACAATGATATTTTTAAAGTATCCATACTTTTTATTTAAATGACAATAAGGGGAAAAAAACCCTAATGAAAACTTTGTTAAATTGCTCTGTATTTGTCTTGTTTCATCAATTCCACTCTATCGGTCTCCATCGTGAGCAAACTTCTTATTGCCCTAATGACTTTGATTAAGGTGGAGTTAATAGCCATGCTTTTTAGCATCACGTGATTCTAAAAAAAATTTGAAAATGTTGGAGAAATAAAAATAAATTAATTAATGGTTGAACATTTTTTGAATTTTTTTAATACTTGAGCGAATTCAATTTTTTTTTTTAAAAAAAAAATTAATGGTTGAGCATAAAGGCATAATAGGAGAGCCATTTCAGATGTTTTATTTCCTAAATATTTAAGAAAATTTTCATAAAACATTTTTTTAAAAAATATTAATCAAGGGTCGAGCTTCACGTGATATCGTCTATGGCCGAATAAGAGTAAATTATAAATCAGTCCCTCTTATTTTGAGAGACGAATTAATTATGTTTTTTTTTTTGTTTTAAAAACTAATTATTTAATCTTTTTATCTAGTGTTGACTAATAAATTAATTAATAGTTGAACATTTTTTGAATTTTTTAATACTTGAGTGGATTCAATTTTTTTTTTTAAAAAAAAAATTAATGGTTGAGCATAAAGGCATAATAGGAGAGGCATTTCAGATGTTTTATTTCCTAAATATTTAAGAAAATTTTCATAAAACATTTTTTTTAAAATATTAATCAAGGGCTGAGCTTCACGTGATATCGTCCGTGGCCGAATATGAGTAAATTATAAATCAGTCCCTCTTATTTTGAGAGACGAATTAATTATGTTTTTTTTTGTTTTAAAAACTAATTATTTAATCTTTTTATCTAGTGTTGACCAATAAATTAATTAATAGTTGAACATTTTTTGAATTTTTTTAATACTTGAGCGGATTCAATTTTTTTTTTAAAAAAAAATTAATGGTTGAGCATAAAGGCATAATAGGAGAGCCATTTCGGATGTTTTATTTCCTAAATATTTAAGAAAATTTTCATAAAACATTTTTTTAAAAATATTAATCAAGGGCTGAGCTTCACGTGATATCGTCCGTGGCCGAATAAGAGTAAATTATAAATCAGTCCCTCTTATTTTGAGAGACGAATTAATTATGTTTTTTTTTGTTTTAAAAACTAATTATTTAATCTTTTTATCTAGTGTTGACCAATAAATTAATTAATAGTTGAACATTTTTTGAATTTTTTTAATACTTGAGCGGATTCAATTTTTTTTTTAAAAAAAAAATTAATGGTTGAGCATAAAGGCATAATAGGAGAGCCATTTCGGATGTTTTATTTCCTAAATATTTAAGAAAATTTTCATAAAACATTTTTTTTAAAATATTAATCAAGGGCTGAGCTTCACGTGATATCGTCCGTGGCTGAATAAGAGTAAATTATAAATCAGTCCCTCTTATTTTGAGAGACGAATTAATTATGTTTTTTTTTTGTTTTAAAAACTAATTATTTAATCTTTTTATCTAGTGTTGACCAATAAATTAATTAATAGTTGAACATTTTTTGAATTTTTTTAATACTTGAGCGGATTCAATTTTTTTTTTTAAAAAAAAATTAATGGTTGAGCATAAAGGCATAATAGGAGAGCCATTTCAGATGTTTTATTTCCTAAATATTTAAGAAAATTTTCATAAAACATTTTTTTTAAAATATTAATCAAGGGCTGAGCTTCACGTGATATCGTCCGTGGCTGAATAAGAGTAAATTATAAATCAGTCCCTCTTATTTTGAGAGAAGAATTAATTATGTTTTTTTTTAAAAAAAAAACTAATTATTTAATCTTTTTATCGAGTGTTTACCATGACTAATTTAATTTTTTTTGTTTTATAAAATTCCTTCTTTTCTCATCAATATTTGCATTATTTTACTTTTTTTTTCTATTTCTTAAAATAAAAAATTAAAAAATATATAAAAATGATTAAATAATTAGTTTTTGAAAGGAAAAAAAAACCAATTAATTTGTTTTTGAACACGAGAAGGATTAATTTATAATTTACTCCTGAAAGTAGATGCCACCAAAGGAATTTGTTTACAATTGAAATCTAATGGGTGGAATTAACAAAACTTTAGACGGTAAGTTTCACAAAGTTTTTTTCACAATTTGATTGTAAATTGCTACGGATTTAAAAATTTGAGGGTGAATAATAATCCAAAATAAATTTTCCTCCCCTCAAATTTTATGTGCCAAACAAGAGAAATGGAGTGAAAAGTTACAAGGCTAATTTTTCGAATCTTTTCCCATCATGCAAAAGGAAGTTATTCCAAATGAACGACATATATTTGCTGAAACTAACCCTTTTTTTTTTTTTTTTTTTGGTGTGTAGTGTTATTAAATCTTGATCGGATTGGCCGGTGTGCTTGAAACTCGATAAGTCGGCTACCTAATGGTCCATGTTGACATTTAAGATCAGAGTCCGTAAAAAACCTGGTCAATCCGGGCCAAAATAGATAAAACGAGGCCCATTGGACTAGTGGGCGAAGAATAGTAAAAGGGAAAGAAAACATTGTAACTTGTGGGGATGACCTAGTAGCTTGACCAAGTTCTTGTCTAGGCCAGGTTTAATAACATCGTTTGTGAGTGCTTATAAATTAATTTCTTGGGTTGAAACTTGATTACTAAATAGGGATGAGCATTCGATTTTTTTTATTTTTTTATTATCAATTTTTAACATTTATACTTGATTTTTGATTAACAATTGATTTTTTATTTGGTTTTCAGATTGGGTTTTTCAATGAAAACTAAATTTTTAATTTTTTTTTATAAATAATATAAATAGATAAAAAAAATTGTATTATGAACTATAAAATTCTTCTACTCGTCCAAATAGTTTAAATTAGCATATATAAAACGTATTAAATATTTATTTACATAAATTATTAACTTCATCATCTATCTTCCAACTATAATAGGCATATAAGACTTGGCATTTTCTATTGAAAAAAAAAAAAAATTGTTAAGCCATATAATTTGGAAGGGGGCCAAAGCCTCCCTAACTTCCTTTTATTCTTCGTAGTTTTAGGAAAATTCAAAATATATCCTTAGCTATTAAAAAGTATTAGATTGGTCTAGTAACTGGCCACTCTTCCTCCAAGTTATATATCCCAGCTTTGCCACTGCTTAAAGAACTTAGTTAGATTTTATATAAGAGCAAAGTTAAAAAAAAAAAAAAAAGTTGCACTTTAAACAATCAATTGAGTGGTATTTATAGTGTTGAGTGATTGACAACTAATATTTTCAATTATTCGCTGCTAGGAAGTAGCGATGATGATAGGGGATACCCAACCTATTAATTTAATTTTTTATCCTACTCATAAAAAAAATACCTTATTCATTATCCATTAAAAAATTACTATATAAATTTTTACCTAGCCTATATTCAATCCACAATAGTTTACCCATTTATTTAGTATCCATTTAATACCTGTTAAAATTAATTTATCAAAAATATTCACTTTCATCCCTATAATTTTTTTATTTGTCCTCAAATTTTAATTTTTTTGGCATTTTGGTAATTTATTTATAAGTTTTTTATCCTAGAAGTTTTTTGAAAAAAAATATTTTGATCTTTAATTTTTAAATTTTATGCAATTAGATCCCTATATTTTAATTAAAAAAATAAAACTAAATTAATGAGTATTAATAGGGTAAAAAATGAATACCAAATCCTAAAACCATATTAGTTAATATGTATTTTTTTTATCTGTTCCACTTCAATACCCGTTAGATATTATTAATAGGTATTTATTGAGCCGGATAAATTAGGTGTCCATTTTATATCCGGTTCATTACCATCGATAATAGAAAGTTCAATCAATCCAACATAAACTATCATTTTTGTGGAAAAAGAAGGCAAAACCCTTAATTTACCCATGTGTTTATGTTAATTATTCACTATTACACATATTTTTTTAATTTGGTCAATTAACCCTTGTATTTTTTATTTTTTTTAAATCAACCCTTGTTTTCTTTGAATGTGTTCGATTAACCTAATAGCTAATTGCTATCAAATCTCAGTATTAACCTTGCTTGCTAATTATATGGCATTTAAATAATTTTTATTATTAGATTACTTTTTATACTAGGTTGGGCTTATACCACCATATAAACTACCTTAGAGAAATAAAGGATAAATTTCAATTTAGCTCCTAAGGTTTATATGTTGTCTCAATTTCACCTAAAACTTTTAGTTTGTTTCAATTAACCTCCATATGTTTCATTATTGTTCCAATAAGCTCCGACATCTTTTATTTATTTTTATTTTTTTTACCAATTTCTCCTCTTCGTCCATTTCCTTCAATGAAAAACACGTGTAAATTCTATTTTTAAAATTTATGAAATATCTGAAAATCATTCAAGAAGTAAAAAAATAAAAATAATCAAACTGAAATTAACAAAAATAAAAATAGAATATCAATCGGAAACTACTTCCTTTTTTAAGTAAAACAAAAATGAGAAATCTTGAGAAGATAAATTTCTTGAGAAATACATCAATCCTACCAACTTCAATTTTCATTCAGGCTGTGTTTGTTTGAGGAAAAATAAATTTTTGAAACTTGTTTTTTTCATTTTTCGAGTGTTTGTTTCACATTCAGGAAAAAAGTCAATGGATAATGATAGAGTAATTTTGGAAAAATGTTTTCCCAGTTTCAAAAGAAAAAAACATTTTTCTTCTCACAACATGTCTCGCTCTCGTGTTACTTAACTCTCTCTCGATATATTTTAACAATTTTTTTCTTTGTCTTCTTTTTATTTAAAATATATCATATTAATTTTTAATTATTCCTTATCAATTATTATTAATTATTTAATTATTTTTTCTATTTTTACTAATATTTGATTTTTTTTATTTATAGATACATTAAATATTTTTAAAAATCATTTTTACACCTTAAAATTATTTTATAATAAATATTTTAATAACTTATCTCTTTTTTTATACTATTGTCTCAAACACTACCTAAGCTATAGTTAAATGATTGAAAATGATTATTACAAGACTATAATTTTTTATATAAAAAATTAAAATTAATTAATTCATCAATAAATATATTATTTTTCCAACACTATTCATTTGCAATTAAACCGATAATTTGTAATTTTAACCAATTGTAAAATTTTGTTGGTAATTGTAATGAATAATTAGTTACAAATTATTCCAACATTAATCTTTTGAGACCAAATAAATAATTATCTATAAATGATATCTAATAATTTATAAAATTATTTTTTAGACTAAATTATCAGCTCAATTTCTTAAAAAAAAAAATCTTAATTGAGTTACCAAAATAATAATGCTAGGATTACTTAGAATCTTTTTTTAGTAAATATAAATATTGACTTGATTTTGTCCTAAGTAATTTTAATGATTTGGTTTGATGGTTAAAAAAGTACATTTTGTTTTTTGAATTAAAATTTTAGAGTTAGTATTGATGAAAATTTATTAAATTTTTTTAAATGTATCTTCTATTATGAAATTATGAATGTCTTTTAAAATTTTCTCAAAACTTGTTGATATAACAATCACACAAGTTTTTATATTTTAATTTTCCGTATTAAACAACCGTTGAAATATATTTTTCAGTAGTTTTTTCGTATAATTGCCAAATGACGGAAAATATGTTCTTGGAAAACAATTTCTTGAAAAATAGCTTCCTCGAGAATTGATTTTCCTATGGAACTTGTTTTCCCTCAAACAAACATATCCTCAATAACATCATGTTTTCCTTTGTCAAGAATACAACTAAATGAAAATTAAGATTCAAATGAATTTAACTCTAAGTGATGTCGAATTTGTCATATCCTCATTCTATCATTTCAACCATATGGGATTTTAATTTTTTTTTTTTCATTTTTAGAATTCTTGTTTAAAATTTTACATTTTGATTGAGAATTGGATAGAGTATATAGACAAGATATGCTAATGAAAAAGTATAAGAGAGGCAACAATAGAAAAGCAAAACTATATAAAGATACAAGGTTTAATTGAAATAAATAAAAAACTTTAGGTAAAATTGAGACAACACGTAAATATCCGGTAGACAAATTGAAATTTATCCAAAAATAAATTGATCATTTGTTTTAGAAAAATAAAATCCACCCAAAAAAATCATATATTTTAAGAAATTTCAATTGCACTTATATTCATATCATAAATAAAAAAATAATGTCATATCATTTTTTATGTAAAAGAAAAAGGTAAAAATAATGCCATATCCTAATGCACGGTAAAATTGAGACTTATGTACCAAAAAAATAAAATTAATACAAATCAGCTATTTGATTAATTGGACAAATTTAATTACCACAAGGGTTGATCTAACAAATTCAAAGAATATGAGCTAATCAACCAAATTTAAAGAACAGGGGTAGAAATAATAATTGACACAGCCACAAGGGGTTTTGCCAAAAAAAATCAAAAAATGAACTCCCGAAGATGCTGTTTCAAACAGGGATTGTCACCGTATGTTGTTGATATTCGGTTTAGACTTGTCCCCGCATGTTCTGATACTAATCTAAAAAGATGCATTTTCAAAGCATCCAGTATTTACAATTTAGTCCCCAAATATCAAAATTCTTTTCACTTTGATCTCTAACTGTGTTAGACACCTCAAACTTGTTATTAATCAATATAAGATTCTTCACTCACATCTTGAACTCAACAAAAAATCTTTCCTCCATATTTGAATCTCTCCTCGACGTTGAAGCCGAGTCATTAGTTCGGATCATAGTTTTAAATAACGATAATTTTATAATGATTTTAAAATATCATGTTATCGTTATTTTAATATTATAGTAAGTCGTGATCCGTAATGATGATCACAATCGTTTTTTCAATCATCAACGACTTAAAACTACTGTTCATATGCTAATTGTTAGGAAGATCCACAGTCGAAGAATTATTTGAAAGACTTATATAAAAGGATAAATATCACTTTAATCTAAGAATTTAGACTATCTCTTCCTCATCGAAGAGAGCCATCGATTCGAATGACTATTTGTTAAGTAAAAATTGCAGTTGCAGATTATTTCTTTGTTTTATTACTTTTCTTCAACCTTATAGAGAATTCTATTGATGCTGGCTTTTTAAGAGTAATTTAATTTATTCCATTCTGAAAATACCCCATTCAATAAGTTTGGAATATTACTCTTTTTGACCTTTTTTGTTCTTGCTTGGTTTTGCAGTTTTGCTGAGCTAAAAAGAATATTCCTGCTATGCTAGCTAGCAGTTGGCATAAGAGAAAAAACGGAGTAAGCACCGATAAATCTGCTACCAATAGTTATTTATTAGTTAACCATATAGTATTAAATAAATGTGGATTGGAACACAGGCTGCTTGTAATTTCAAACTTCATGAGAATGTATTGCTAGAATCTAATCTAAATGAATAAATACCTATCTTATCTATGGCATCTCTATTGCACTGGAAAAACAAAAGGGTGTCCATGTCCTGCTTTCTTCTCTTCCAAAGATTTATTCCAGTGTCCTAAATCTCTTACCAAATCCCCAGTGGACAAAAGATAAACCTTCTTTTAACGTAGGATCATAGTCAGCCTGTGGAAACTGGATGTCGACAATTCGTAGTTGTAAGCTAATAGTTTCCTCTCCATCTGACACCAGGTTTACTTGATAATGGAAGACTTTCTGACCTGTTCGTTCTTCTGTAATTTGCACTCCTTCACTAGCCTGTACTGGAAAAAATAAAAAAATAAAATAAAAGGAAAGATATCCTGTGCCGTTTCCTCAATTGAAAGAGTCTGTAGCTGTAAAACTATCGGGTAGTTTAACCATCTTCATAAAATTTGTATCGACATGGTCTTAAGGAGAGGCGCTTTCCTCATCTGAACTTCTATCTTGTCTAACGTTGTATCTGTTGAGAACCGGTAGTGATGCAGTTGCTGATATCCGAAAGGATCTAGCTGAGCCCACCATTGTTCCGTCCTGCATTTTCCCGACTTCCTTGCAGACATGATCCAATACATTTAGCAAATCTCTTACAATCATGAAAATTCTGAAAGGGTGAGCTTCCTCTTTCGCTGTATCCCCGTGGAAATATTCTGTGACCTCTTTCACCAGTGATAAAGCCTTTATTTCATCAGACTTGATCCAGCTAATTTCCTCATCCGCGTCTCTTAGAAACAGCTTCATTGAGTGAAAGAATTTCCCAGGCATATCTGGCTTGTCGTACTGCAAAACCAATCTGACTTTCTCAAGCCCCATTGCGAGCTTTGAAACATAGCTACTTAAAACGTCAGAGTCCATTCCTGCTGCCTTTTTTACATTGCTGAGATCTCTACTCAGACCTGACACAACCTGCAATCCTTGTTTCCTGAAATCATCCTCCTTCATTTGGGAGTTTGTACTGTCTTGCAGATTCTTATTTGCAGAATCGGTACTTGTGCCTTCAGATCTAATAATTTCCTGGACCACAAAGTGGAGTAATGTTGTTTTCCCATCTGTTCCCTTTATATCTACAAGTTTTAAGAGGCTTTCAAGCTTAAACGCTTTAGCATCACCACGATTTGTGCCAACATTCATCCGGTTCCCTGTCCTGAGAACAGCTTCAAGGAGTTTGAGGAATAACCGGCTATTCTTCAATTCCTCACTTGCTGCCTGGTAGATAGGAAGACGTCAGGATTAAGTTCCTATGAATTAGTGCACACAGAATTTAAAAAGATCTTACAATAGAAAGCACAGTGAACCTCATCAGCAACAACTTTTCGGCCAAACCAATTTAAAAGATCTTACATTAAAAAACACAGTAAGTTCGGCAGTAAGCTTTCAGCCAATATGCATACCTCTAGGGTTTGAAAAGATTTCCTCAAATATTTAACTTCTGTATCAAAATTGGCTCTGTAGAGCATCGCCTCAACTCTTTTAAAAGCAAATGGGATATCAAGCACTGCCTTGAGAAACCGTTCTGCAGATCCCAGTTTGGAGATGTCACCACTGTACTCTCGAAGTTTTATTTCTTCCTCCTTGGTTGGGGCCATCTTTACTAGAGTTTCCAAAAGCTCGGCACCCAAGTTTTCTGGGTTGCCTGTTGCACCCAAACAAATATCTCATACAATATTAGCAAACTGAACTCAAGCTACAATAATAGGAAAGTTGATACAAGCACAGAACATGCATATGATAGCGATGAGATCTTCCTTCTTGTTATTTTGCTATCTGTAAGTCTACATGGAAAAGACAATAGCTAATCTGATATCTAGCTCATGTGTCTTTATCTACAGAATTTTGGGAAATCTCAGTACTTACCAATTCAATTGGTTTATGAGGTACATAGTAGTAAATTTTGTGATGGTTATTGCTGTTATGCTTAATTTGCTGTTTGTGGAAATTTGAGGGTGTTGAAAAATATAGGATTGGTTAAGAGTGGCAGAATATGTTAGACATCTCAAAAAGCATCTTTTATTTCTTCTGATGCTGGAATTGAGGTCATTGGGCAGTATTACTAGGAAACATTTAGCTGTTCGATCTTCCAACTTGTGGTTAACATTAATTCATTTTCAGAACCATACAACTGCTGAAGTCTCGCCTAGTTTTGACGAGGAAACTACTTAGACATGCTCCTCCAATACCTGGGCTGGAGATTTCCATGTATTGTCCTTGGGTGATGACTGGAAATAAGGTGTTAAAGAGGCTTAAAGCCTAACCACTAGTTTGATGAGGAGGAAAGAATGAGGAAAAATAAAGTTTTAGGAATTCTTTCCTTGTTTGATTCAGAATTGAGAGGAAAAGGAAGAAAGAATGGAAGAAATTTACAACGTAGGTGAGATTTGAGGGGAGGACTCTGTAAGGCAAAAGTTTGTAGAACAGCGTAAACATAAGGCGTGCCCTCTTAACAAGTATTTAAGTATTTTCCTCAGAATCATCTCAACTTTTCCTAGATAAACAAACAGGAAATCAACAAAAGCTTGCAACATGTCAATTCCGATCCCTCTTAAGAAGAGTTAACTTGGTGTTTTTCCATCCAACAACCAATTGGGACTTGCCTATCATGCATGTTTCTAGGTCTTTCACAAATTTCTTATCTAAAGTCTTCCTTTTTCTCTCTTTTTTAACCTTTTCTGGCAGCAATCATCTTCAAGGAAAACTAACACAATGATGTAGTGGTATAATGCTGCTTAAATCTCTACTCCCTTGGTTTCCACTGCAATCATGGTATCTTCCACTTTAAGCACTTCAAATATGAGTAATGGATTCAACCTTGTTTTTTCTTTCACCGTTGAGGGCATACACCTAGATATAGATAATCACCTTAGCACCAGGCAATGTTATACTAATATCTGCGCAATATGGCATCAAAAATTAGGCTCATAGGTCTGCAGAATGCAGTAGCCCATATTTAGCAATATGGGCGTCTATTGTTGGCTTGTGGGGCTGTCTCTACCTCAGTTATTTAATTCTCATAAATTACTATTGTCAACGCAAAAAAACAAGAAATGTATATTTGCGTTTGTTTGTTTGTTAGTATTTCGTTATCTTCTTATCAGGCTATGAAACTGATGGATGACGATAGACAGAAAAGAACAATATCACATACCATCCAAAAGAGCTTCAGACACTTCATCTCGCGTCACATTTAGTGCTCGTAACAGTATAGCTATGTTCTGTGACTTCTTTGGATCCAACACTCTGTTTTCATGATCAACAGGAGGCAGAACTGATCTTCTTGGAGCTTCTTTTGGTACCAAATTCGCAGAATTACAGCCAAAAAGACTCTCCATCATGTCCTCATTTAATCTAACAAGAAATGAATCGACAAAAATTATCCTAAATTTTATAAAAGACTAATTTGGTGAAGGGAATTGCTGCTAAATTAACTTCACTTACTGAAATGAGCTGGATTTAAGCTGGTCCCACACTGTGGCTCGGTCTGAGGATGCCCGCACTTTGTCCCAATGCAGAGCCTTTAGCTTGGGCTTTGCTCCATCATTGTCATCTGCATTGTTCCTCTCTGAGGAACTGATTCCTTCACTAACTTCCTCAGCAGTTTTTGTCGTTTCGGTCTTCAAATTGGCTTTGGGACTAGGAGTCCAGGGCTGTTGCTTCGCCACCTCTGTTGTAGGCATCGAAGGAACAGCACTTGTTTTAGCTGTTTCTAAAGATCCTATCTTTCTTGTTGTTGACATTGGAGCCTGAGCCGGAGGAGGTGGAGGTGGCGGTGGAGGTGGAGGTGGACCTAGAATTTTACTTGATTGCTGATTGTTTATCGATCGAAGAAGTGCCATATTCGGTGGTGGTGGAGGGGCTGGAAATTTTGCCCTTTTTGAAAAATATGAAGTTGTTGGCTCAACATCCTGGATTTTATCCTGCTGCGGCACTACCGGTGGTGGTGGCGGTGGCGGCGGTGTTGTTGACGATGACTGCTTGATTGAAGGAATGATGACATGCTTCATTTCCGGTGAACGAATGGAAGAAAATCGTGATTTGGGAGAGGTTCTTTTAGAGTGGGGAACTAAAGCTGTGGCTTGTATACGGCCATCATTCCCACCATTAGCAGACCTCCCCGGAACGGGTGTGTAATAGGAATCATCAGTGCTTATTGAGGAGCCCTGTGGTGTATAAAAAGCTGTGCCATGACTCTCCTCGTCTGATGTCGATGATGTTGGGGATGCAAAATTCTCATTCTCGTATCGAGGAGGAGGAGCAGGAGGTTTAGGTAATGGTGGCAGTGGCTGCAAATCTGGACTGGGCCTATATCTATCAGATCTTTTGACTGAATTTAGTTTACGATAAGGTGAAGTATTGGCTTCGCTTGTTGTTGTCGTTGCTCCATTTACTTCACTAATGGATGTCCTGGTTGGTTCAACAGTTCCTATGTACAAGAAACTTGATGGGGGTGCTCTAGATTCATCTGCAAATCTTTCAGAATTGCCTCCGACAAGTTTCTGAGACTCTCTTGGATGCTTAACCCTGTGTCGGTATAAAAAGAATGCAAGAGCTGATAGCATGCCTAAAGTGACAATCCCAACTGAGATTGCAATTGCCACTTTCTTAGCAGGTTTGGCGGGCTGTGTTGCTGTTGGGATTGGTATGGTCCCATTGACTGCCGATGCTGGTGGTGGCTGGCCTTGACCTGGGGACGACCCACTTGGGACTTCAGGGAAAAAGGGCTGGTCTGGGCTTGGAAAAGCTGTGCTGTCTGGTGGAGGTGGTGATGGCGGTGGTGGTTGTGAGTCTGTGGCTGGTGGTGGTGCAGAATTGGCCGGAAACAATGGCTGGTGGAGAATTCTGCGTTGGATGTCAGAGCTTGTACTAACAGAGTCTTGAATTATGGCTGCAGCTTTGGGTTTGGTCAATGTCGATAACACCATAAAAAAGAGGATCAAAATATGAGCTCTCATGGTGAATTTTTCTGGGTTGCTCTTATTTTCTTCCTCAACTCTTTTTGTGTCACTAAATTCATGTCTCTCTTCTATCTCTCTTCGTCTTTCGTTTTTGTCTTTGCAAAAGTTTTTCTGTCCATAGAGAGAGAGAGTGGAAGAAAGGGGAAAGGAAAAAAAAAAAGAAAGAAAAAGAAAAATTAACTGAGAGACTGCCACTGTATCAACGGAAGCTTCTTTTGGCTGCAAGATCTTGATGCTCAAGATGCTGACATCACCATAGCCAACATTTTCTCTCTCTCTGATTATTTATTTATTTGTTAGTTTTTATGTCAATTGCTGCTGTTCTTTTGGAAAATTATTGGCCATACACTCCAGCCAATGACAAAAAAAAAAAAAAATTCCAATAATTATTGTTTTTTGAAAAGGTTTTCTTTTCTAAATTATTTTTAGTAAGAGTTTAATAGGAAGATAGAAATATTAAACATGATAAATTTTGGATTACTATATGATTTCATAAATAGCCAATTGATCTATAAGATTTCATTGCTCGTGAAGAAGGGATCTTTTAAGATTTCCTTTTCTTAAAAAAAAAAAAAGAAAAATTCATTTGCTATTATTAAATTTTCAAGTACGAAAAATAAGTACGTTTTTAAAACAGTTTATATGTTAATTGAATTAATCCCTCCTCCAAATTACTCTGGATCTTTAATTATAGTAGATTATAAATTAATCCCTTTATTTTGGATAAAAGAATTAATTAGTCTTTTATATTTTAAAAAATAATTATTTAGTCTTTGGCAAGTGTTGATTAGGTTTAATTTAATACTATTTTATCTCATAAAATGTCTTTTTTTATCATCAATTCTTTCATATTAAAATAAATTAAAAAGAGTGAAAATAATTAAGTTATAAGAAATTTTTAAAAGATAAAGATTAAATAATCATTTTTTTGAAATAAGAGACTAATTAATTTATTTTTCAAAACTATAGGGACTAAGTTATAATTTACCCTTAAATTATAAGTAAGGAAAGGAATGACACCTGGGCAAGTGAGAATCCACTTTGCTGCTTTCTTTTTATAAATTAAAAAGACAGTGATGGCCATGGAGTGGTGATTTTATAAGGGCCACGTTTATGTCCTCATTTGTCAATTAATAATTATTTCGACTTTTGTGCAGATCGAGGGCAGAAGCACATTCAGGCACATTCACATATTCCTAAATCCATTGGTGCCGTTAAAATCCTGTGTCCTCTCCAATCCTTTTCTTTTCTACTTTTTATTAAATAAATTATAAATTAGTCCCTTAACTTAAATCATTTTCATTCCTTTTCAATCTATTTTGATTTTTTTTTTGTAAGGAATAGAAAATGATAAAAAAGTAAAATATATAGAGAAGAATTGATGAGAAAATATGAGATTTTATAAAATAAGATAATATTAAATTGAATACTGTTAAATTTACCAATCAAATTATTATTTTCACTATCTTTTCTAGATAATTATCAATATTGACACTCTTCAATTACCAATAACTATTATATAATAAATATTAATGGAGGATGTATTGATAATTTTCTAAATAATATTATGAAAATAATAATTTGATTGATGAATTTAATAATATTATATTAAATTAAGTATGATCAATATTATTTAAGGAACTAAATATTTTGTTTTGAAAATGAGAAAGATTAAATAATTTGTTTCTTAAAAATAAAAGGATTAATGTATAATTTACTCATTTTTTATGCTATGAACACATGATACTAGGTGGGGTGTCAGTAGGGGTTTACAATATCTGTGAAGGTCGGTCTACCATAAAGAATTAACGGTTACTATTATATTTATAAGAGTTTACACAAATTCATGTTCAAGACGAGAGGAATTCCTCCAATCTAACGTCAAAACGTTTTTTCTTTTTTTCATAATGTCATAATCTTATTAGCAAATAGTAAAAAATGTTAAATATAATGTCTATTTTCTTTCTTTATTTTTTTATTTTTCATTAAAACTTTCGTATCTTTTATTTTTATTTTTTATTAGCAACCAATTATTTTAACTAAATAATTAATGACCGGTTTTTTCTTCTCAACTAGATTTTAATCACATCATCCACACCAAATTTCTGAATTCATAAGAGATTATAACTTATTTCTTCTAGCTTTATTTAAGATTTAAATTTTAGATAAACATCTTAAGCATAAACATTTTTTTTATCGTCTAAGATATTTCAGATCCAAAGATTCGGATTAATTCTTCATTATTTTGTTAGACATACAAAATAAAGACAACTACTCATATAATTTTTTTACATATATAAAGATTTGAATTCGAGAGTTCTTATTTAAACGATTAGAATTTTTTCTATTAAAATCAACTGTTTTGGATATAAATATATATGTTTTTAAAGAATAATAGTATTAATTCGTTGTACGAGGGTAAAAAATTAATCAATAGGATATAAAACAAGGGAAAATGTTTTAACGAGAAAGAAAAATCTCTCCTACAAAATTTGAACTTAAAAAACACAAATGCAAAATTTATGTGTGGAACTTGGAGATTATTTCTATTCTTCATATAAGATCTCTGACAAGTTTTAGTTTGTTCATCAAGTTTGAATAAACCCACAAATCTTAGGTGGGGGGAAGCGTGTGGTTATCATTTTCATTATGATTCTTTTCTTCTTCATAAATTCACAGATATTGTAGTAAGTTGCAAAGAGTTATTTTAACAACTGAAAATATACTATACATTAATTTATTCTCTCGAAATCAAAAGTAAAAAAGAAAAAAAAAAAAGGAACAAGGTGCTTTTTTGACTTGTTAATTAGTTCTGACAAATGGAAAAGGCTTGAGCTAATTATTAGTTATTACCAAATGGATCCAATTGTGCTTTATGTGGTGTCAATTTATCATTCATGCTTCTATTCTTCTTTGTTTGCTTGTTTCCATAAATATATGATTGATCTAAATATTCTTATTCATTATATCCTTTTATTTTTGTTTTGATTATGATTGATCTAAATATATGATTTAGTTCACTTTATCCTTTTATTTTTGTTTTGATTAACAATGTATCTATATTATTTTTTAATAATTCATTATGTTTTTTTTTAAGTATACTACTTATCTAATAATTTTTATTTATTATATCGAATTAGTTCATTCTACGCTTTTGCTTTTACTTTCGTTTTGATTTATTATGTTTTAATAATTCATTATGTTTTCGATTTAGTGGACTATTGATCATGGTTAATGTTAAGAGTATAATTGTAATGTATTAATATGTGTATATAGTAAAGTAGTGCGAGTGTAAACAATAAGGAAGCATGTGAGCTACGGAGGAACCTTTCCTCCGGTGTATATATAAATAGACACTCTATTACTTGTTGTAACGGTAACAAACAAAATTCAAAAATAACAAACTCTCATTTTCCGTATGTTTCTCTCTCTTTTCCGTTCTCTCAACGAGTTAATGTTGAACATATAGCACTCAAGAAGTTTGATATACATCATGTTTGAAATTTGAGGTGAAATTTTATTTTATATAATAAAAGAACAAATTATTAAAAAAATAATAATTTTTTTTCCAAAAAAACACACACGTGTTTTTTAAAATTTAAAATACGCAAATTTTAAATAACTTAAAAACCCTAAAATCTCAAATTATTTGACCCGTTGGTTTTTTTATTAATTTTTTAATATTTTTTCTTTTATTGAAAAAAAATTACTTCAAATTCAAATTCGACACATTTCAACTGCGTAAATCCCCCTTTGGTTAACACTAATAATGATCAATAGTTTATTCAACCGAATTATAAAATGACTAACAAGCTAGTCTATAAATATAATAAATCAAAATAATAATAAAATTACCGAGTAAATCAAATCCATATAATATAAATATATTTTGGAGCTTTTAATTAACTCTTAAAACTTGAAGATTTTGGAATGGGAGCCAACCAAGGGCATATAAGTAATTTTCAGAAAAGTGTGACGTGATGTGTGGGAAGTTAACGTTTTGCTCTTTCTGCTTTCTTTTTCTCTGCTTAAGATTGATCCACCGACCATCTCCTTTTGTTGGGGGTAAAAACGCACACGCGCCGGAGCATATGCTTTTTTTTTTTTTTTAGCTTTTCTTTCTCAAGATGTGCTCTTTTGTCGGACACCCATTACGTGTGAATAGATCTCCACCACAACGGAAAGACAAAGCTACCCTTTTCATCAACAAAAATATACTACTACATTTATACCCTGCCTTTTTCAGTTGGGATCACATAATTCTTTTTATTAAGAAAAAGGGAAAGGCTTCACTAAACTAGTTTTTATATAAAAACTTGTGTTGAATTTATGATATTTATATATACTTTTAAATTGGAGATATTAATTCCATGACATCAAGAAAAGGGATATGGTGTATAGATGTGAAGAAAATTGTTCTGGTTTGGCCAAAATTAACAACAATAGGTTTCAACTGGTTTGATCTAAAAGATAGTAAAGTAATCAAGTAAAAATTAAATATGTTTTGACATTAACGTAACTCGAAAAATAGAAGACATAGTTTTTATTAATGTGAAAACTAAATTGAAAATATCTTATTATAGACACTCGGCGTGTATAAACACAAATTATAATTATGTTGACTTGTGGAAACATAAGTAAATTATAAATTAGTCTCTTTGGTTTTAATAAATGAATTAATTAGTCTTTTTTATTTTAAAAATTATTATTTAGTCATTTGATAAGTGTTGATCATTTTTTATTTAATATTATTTTTATTTCACAAAATATCTTTTTTTCTCATCAATCTTTTCGTAATTTTCATTTTTTTTATTTCTTAAAAAAATAAAATAAATTAAAAAAGAGCAAAAATGATTAATTTATAATTAAATTTAAAAACATGAAAACTAAATAATTAGTTTTTGAAATAAGAGGAGTGGATTAATTTGCTTCTCGAATCGCAAGGGACTAATTTATAATTTACTCGTGGAAGCACCTATTCTTGTGAATATTCACGAAAATCGAGTGTGCATCACTCAATCCAGTTATAATTTAATTAATTATTTATGAAACTTAGTCTCAGTTCATAATTGCTGTGATTTTAATCAAGTTGTTTGTTGTTTTAAATAGCATATCTAATTCGAAGAACTATTATGTAGAGTAATGTTAAATATAAAAGAAAATATGACAAGAAAAAAATTTCAATAATTCATACGGGCCACTAAATCATATTTTATTAATATGTGGCTTATGAAAAGATATATTAGCATTATAAATTAATCTTTTTAATTTTAAAAAGAAAATTAATTAGTCTTTTTTATTGTCACTCGGTGATCTCTTGACAATTGTAATATATATATATATGGAGTTGCCACTCACTTGTTAAAAATGTGAAAAAAAAAAAAAAAACCACCCCCGACATTGATCTTAAGAGTTATAAATAAGAGAGTTGATTACATTACTCGAGCAAAAAAAACTACAGTTATCCTAACATGTCATCACTAAAGTTATTTTGTGTTTTTAGCTTAAAAGAATTCATTTATGCAAGTCTATTAACATGGCCACTTATTTATCCTAATTCGTAAGTTGAATTATTTAGATTTTTTCTAATCAATCATAAAATAGGTGATTTAGAAATTGAAAGAGTAAAAGAAGACTCGGTCTCTCACCTAATATACCAATGAGTCGTTGGAGCGCATGTGAGAAGATAAAAGTTTAGGTTGAAAGCCTATTGCAAATTAAACCCTAATCTCCACACAAAAACATAAAATTAAACCGAGCTTGGACCTTAAGCCAAATTCACTTGCAATTATGTAATAAAAAATTATAAAAATTCACAATAATCAATCCAAAAATATCACGGGCCTCGAGCTCATATCATTCCGTCATGCTACATTAAAATATCAAACTAGCCTCCAAAGCCCAAGATGTAATTTAGAAACAAGTTTACAAGACAACAAAATTAGTGGGACCGAAAAATAAAGTAAAATTACATTAAACCAAACAAATAATAAAAAGAAAAAGACTTTTCATTGGAACTCAATCGATATCAGATCTTAAACCTACTTTATCTAGATTGATCTAGACCGACATTACATAAAATAAATACACAAAATACAAGATATAATAAAATTAATATGTAAAAGTCAAAAATCACATAAGACGACACGACAAAAAATAAAATAGTCAATGTGTCTCCACAAAATCCTTGACTTATTAATTCATATTGGCTTATTTTAGTTTTTTAGAAAAAACATTTGCCAGCTTATTGCTAGCTTCATCATCGATCAACAGTTCCTCATGAACTTTTTTATATAAAAAATAAAAATACTATATAGTATGTCAAACCATTAACCTCTTTTTACAAAAGATATCAAATTAAAAAAAAAAATCACAAAACTCTAACTCAATCAAATTAAATTTTAAAAACACACAAAAAAAAACTTGGATTTAGATCCCTTTTAATGTTTTCAAAAGCTACAAAGTATAGGAAGTTCTAATTTTTTTCAATTATTTTTTTTAATAAAAAAATTTAATTCAATAATCATCCGAATTCCATTTTAATCACATAATTGACATGCAAAACATATTAATCAATCAATTAATCATGCAATATAACAAAACTTGGATAAAAATTAAACTAACAGTGATTAATACTAATTAAAAAAACTAAATAATTAATCTTTGAAACAAATAAAAATAATCAATTTGTTTTCAAAAATAGAGAAACTAATTTATAATTTAGTCTCATAAATTAAATGTACTTTTCCCTATATGCCAAATGAAATAAATAATGCCAACCTACGCCTTCCGTAGTGGGGACTGTACATCAAAATCATTCATTTAAAAAGATGTCAATTAAAAGCAACATGAAAAATTCTTGAATAAAATATACATAGAAAAATATCCTCTTGCGATTTATATCATCTCGAGCATTCTCTTTCAGGGAATTTATCACGTTGGGAATTTTCAAATACATACGCGAGATACTTTGTCTCATTGGATTTTTGCATGTGAAACTTATACGAAAAACACTTGTGCTTTTCCAGCTTCAATCGGGCAACAACGATGTTGAAACGAACTGCTGTACAGATCGGTTTTTTTGGTAGATTCAACGGTGTTTATGTTGGCAATAATTAAATTGTAGCTGAGTTAATTATTGCCACCTAACTGGGTCCTACAGTACTCTTACTGTCCTAAGAGTCGATTTCATTCCAAAATTGTTTTGGTTGGTATAAGACGACACCACGTCTAGACACCCACTCACACACACACACACACACACACACACACACACACACACACACACACACACACACACGTGTGTGTGGTATTTTTGATCAATTTTTATGTTAATAGAGATTAAATCAAACAATTTTTTTAAGTAAATTAATGTCGAATCATGCTTAATTTTTTATTGATTTTAAAAACTAAATTCTTTAAATCTCCTATCTTTTTTGTCTAATGTTATAAAAAAAAAGAGAGAAATTTTATAAGAAGTAAAAATTAAATTCTAAACTTTATAAATAAAATTAAAGTAAAATCATTTGTTTTACTATTCATTCACTATTTAAAATTCTATTCATTCACACTTGTTTCATTATTCACTCACATTCAAAAACACTATTCCTTTAAAATGACATTATTTTTAGTTTTAAAACATTTTTAATACATTTATAATGAAAGTTTTCATAACATTGCACTTTGGTCCCTCTTTTTAAAATATAGTTTTTTCAATTCGTAAAATATTTTTTATTTGGTTTCAATCCGTCTTTTTTTGTTTGATTTTTGTCAATTTGATCCTTTTTTGATTTTTTTACATAGAAAAATTTAAGGCAAAAAAAGTTTAAAAAATATTACAAAATAAATTTTTAGTTTAGAATCCATTGGTGTTGACATTCTTTATACTACTAAATAATTTTTTTTATGAAAAATATAAATAACAATTAATCAAATACAAAATTTGATTTATTTTGATAGACACAATATAACATGAGATATTAAAATAAAATAATTTTTAAAAATAATTTTATGTATTTTATCCGATCCATAACGTAACGGGTATAAAAAATCTAATATGAACTAAAAAATATTTTTCCTACCATTCTACTTATAAAATTCGGTGGTTTTTGATATAAAATATATTTCGATTTAAAACACTTCCTATAAAATACTATTAAAATAAAGCAATTTCTTGACATTTAATTCAAGAAATGCATACACAAGTTTGTCCTGGTTGATCTGAACAAATTGCCAGCCGATTTTGAAAATTTTTGGATATCAATATTAAAATTAAAAATCATAAAGGAAAAATAATTGACAAAATTAATTGAATCAGAAAGGAAAAGAAGGTTTGAATCGAAATACTATTGACCGACGATCTTGTACGTAGTTGTGATGTTTTCTTATGCTTGATTTGAAAAATATTAGGGATGCCCTTTAAATCACGATAAAGTGTTTTTCAGGTCAAAATTATAGCAGTAGCTGTCATTATTGGAACATTATCAAAAGAAACAATGTCCAATCAAATCAAATTACATTATCGGTGGTGGTAAAATATATTTGTGTGTGTGCAGGCAAGCTGGCTGGAAATTGATTTCCATTTTTTTATCAATTTTTTTCTAAAGTTTCTTCTCTGTCAATCACTTTGGTGTCTTTTCATCTTCATTTGTTTGAAAAACTAATAAAAAATATATTTATATTGTGTAAAGTTCAGCTCTCAATTAACTCTCAAATTTCTTTTTTACATTATTCATTTTAACATACATGTAAAAAAATTTAAATGCAAATTCACTGAAAAAAAAGACCAAAAATATAATAAATGTGAAATTTCATAAAAAAGAAAAATACAAAACCAAATTTAAAGAATATTTCATAAAAAAAAAATCCAAATTCACCTTAAATTGAATTAATATAAATTTTTTATACATATAGTTCATTTAATTTAATTTTACAAACATAAAAATTAAATTTGGACATACTATATACATACACACACTAATTTTATAGATTGCAAAAAAAAAAAAAAAAAAAATCTCACTTTTCACCTTACGAGAACTAACGCATCCAATCTCCCTGATAAAAAATGAATGGTAGCAATCTTGGTAATCTGTAACAAGACTCTACAGCTCTCTTTGCATCATCTTCATACTTACCTTTTTTTGTTGATTTTGTCCAACCTAATCAAATAAAATTAGCATATTTAGCTTTACTTTTCTTTTTTTGACATAAACTGACAACATAAAGAAATTATTTATTGAATTTTAAGTAAAATTAGGGTATATAATGATTTTGATGGTCAAACTTTTTTATAATAATTAAGTGATATATCTATATATATATATATATATATATATATATATATATATATATATACACACACACACACACACCCTGATTTTTCTTGTTTTTTATAGTGGTCAGGAAAAACAAGAAAATCAGGAAAAATATAAACAAAAAAAGTTATATATATATATATATATATATATATATATATATATTGATGAAATAGCTCAAGTTACAAGCAAAGCCTCGTCCTTAACGATATCTTCTCAGGTGGTTAAACGAGAAATCTGAATTACAGGTGATGGAACAATGCACTTTCAAATGTGCATTGACGAAAAAAATCAAAGATGTAGTTACCTGTGATGTTGTGGCATTAGATTTTGTTAAATGGTTTTTTACAATCCTTACCTATGGGACATAGAATGATTTTGTCAAACATGGAGTTGTGCCATCGCATTCACCCTGCCAAAGTTCTGAAGAAGTTTTCTTTGGTGATTGCTCAACAAACTAAGCATTTAATTAATGTTAGTTGGCTTCATCTCTTACCCTCTTTCGAGGAGTTGGTTCTAAATTTCATAAAATTAACGGTGTGATCAACTACAAAAAAAAAAAACCCTAGCAGTGGCAGGGTTCTCTGAGATGCGTGAAGAACACAAGGTGCTACGTCTTCAAAAACAAGTAGAAGATGAAAAGATTTTGCTACTATCACTTTAATTTCTAAATTCAGCAATCCACTTGTTCTTGTTATGCCTAGATATTTGAGACATCCTCCTAATATAGAGAATTAAGCCTGTGATCATATCATACAAGGAGGTAAACTAGTTGTCAGAATATATTACTTTCAAGTTCAGTTCTGAAGTATCTGTCCATGATAAACAACCGTATATATTCGTACTCGCTACCGATAAGTGGACGTTCCTTTTTTCTCTTTTGCAATCAACACAAAAACCAATAATAACTCAGGAGTGTTTAAAACTCTATCATTCAGCAATCTCCAATCTGGTATTTCTTCGTTCCTTTCGCTCGAAAACTCATTTTCAATTTTAATTTTATTAAATTTATTTAGCTTTGAATTCAACAGTTCATTTTACGTTCTTTAACAAACCAATTTCTTTAGAAAATGAAAAATTCATCTTACTAAGAGCAATAATTTTCACACCAAACTTCTTAAACCTCACTGTACAATTCTATTATGAAGCTCATCATAAGAAAAATGCTCAGAAGAATCTTATGTTACTTCATTGTGTTCATCCTCTTGGAAGATATTTGTTTTTTCACCAAGTAATTCCATTTTACCTTCATTGTTGAAGGAGATGGGAGATTCATCTTAGCCATTATCCATTGAAGCTCTTGAATCTATTATTGAGCTTGAAAATCATCTTTTGATGCCACTTGAAATTTGTCCAAAATTCTTGATCCATCTTTTAGCTCATATTTTCCTTGATGAATTTTAACATTAATGTCTTCTTTGCACATATCCCTATTAACTTCAATAAGGTCTATCACCATATAATTTTTCAAGAGGATCCCAAATTTCTTTAGCACTTGAGCAAGTATAGACTTTACTGGAAGTATGGCTATCCAAAAAATCTTATAGAATTTGCATAGCTCTAATATTCAAACCAAATCCCTCTTCTTGTGCTCATTCTTCAACCCATTTACAACTTTGTAAGCCTTATTAATATGTTTTTCTACAGTATCACATATCTCAATGTCATTGGTTGTTAGAAAATAATATAAATCATATCCTAGAACTTTACCTAACATCTTAAGTATTTAGGTGAGATAATATTTTTTGACATATTATCGAGCTTTAATGATCAAACGGTGGCGAGTTCGAATCTAACGACCTTCATTCCTCTTTTGATTAATTAAGCATAAGGTAGCATGTGTTTGTACAAGATTCAAATCCAAAAGGCTTTCACTTGAGGAATGTTTTAAAGACCAATATAAATTATATCCTGGATCTTACCTAACGAGTTTAACATTTTAGATGAGATTGTCATTTGACAATTACCTCAATAAAGATTTCCATCCTAATGTTCCAATCACCATAATTTTTCGAATCAAAGAATGGAGCTTTAGAAAAATATTGGCTCTTTAGGACCATGATCTTAACTTTTAGGTAATAAAACGATATATAAAAGCCCTTTTTCTGCTACTAATTGAAAGCCCTAGTAGCCAAGGTGAGGATGAATTAGGTGTTTAAACTAATATTCAATAATTAACTTATTTTTCAATTTTTACAATAATAATCACAACCTAACCCATTTGAATCATCAAGCATTCAAAACATAGATCATAGATTTAATGTTTATTACATCTAGTGAAAATGAATTGGTAACCAACATGGATTAATGAAGAGTGATTTAGGAGCTTGATTGAAAAAAAATTGTCCTTTAAAGACTTGGCTTCTTTTTTTAATTTCTCAAAAAAATGGATGTATAGATAAACTGATTACGCACCCAACAAGAAATATTGTGCTTTACGCACTCATGAACATATGAATAGACTTCCAATAACATCTATATTGGGATCAAAGTTTAAAATATCTCTAGGAATATATATATATATATAATCTTTTTAAGAAGCTAATAACATAACTCAAAGATGATATCTATATACTAAATCTATATGTGCTATGAATTGGTCCCATTTCCCGTTATGAAAAAAAAATTTAACATTCCATTAGCTCATGAATTATGACGAAAACTTGATTGTAAAAGATCCTCGATCTGATCGGTATATCAAACACGAGATTGAACACGCATTATTTCAATTTTTCATAGGGAACAATTATTTTCAACCAAAAATTTGCTATTCTTGAATTATAAAACTAAAAACATTTATACAATTTACGTTCATTGATCATCAAAAAAATTCAAAATAATGTCATAGACTATATTTGAAATTATGGATTTACTAACTAGAGAAAGAAAGAAATAATTGCATATGCAGGCCACCATTATTATAAATATGAAATAAGATCACCTATTTAGTTAAACCCTAAGCAACCGTTGGGGAGAGGAATGAAATTGGATTTAAAGTTTGGGGACCAAATTGTTTTTTATGCATTGCAGAAGAGCAAGCAAAACCACCTCTTCCAAAAAAAGGTAAAGAAGGGAGGAGGCAATAAAGGAGTTAATTATAACTTAGTGTCCTTGTAGTTTAAAGAAACTAATAAATTAGTTCTTGCTGTCAAATATTATATATTTAATCCCTATTGTTTTTAATTTATTTGTAACTTAGTTATTCTCATCAATTTCATGTTTTGTCCCGATTTAAGCATTTGTTTTATTTTGGAAAAGTGAACATTAAGAAAATTAGATAATATGGAAAAATTTAATAAGGAAAGAAAGCAATTTTTTGGAGCAAAAAACTACCGAAAGTCAAAAGGAGAAAGGTCCACTAAGGTAAAAGGACTGTTTGATTATTTCTGACACTATAGGGACCATTGAATTAGATTTGATACACTATGGGAACTAAGTTACATAGAACTCGGGAATAAAGTATTAAAAATAAAAAAAGGAATTCGAAGTACAGATTTTTTAGCGGAGCCAGGTTTCGATCCTGGGACCTGTGGGTTATGGGCCCACCACGCTTCCGCTGCGCCACTCCGCTTTGTTGATTGACGTGGACTAACGAGCTACTTGATTTGTATTTGTTATTTTTTTTTCTGGTAAATATAAAGATACCATGCAGTGATTCGTCCCACTAATATTTTTGAAATTTGTTTTTTTTTAAAAAAGCTTTATATATGTATCATTTCCATAAAATTCTCAGATGTATGTATATTATTTAGATGATAAACAATAATAGATATCATTATTTAGAAGGTACTTCAAATAAATATTTTGATTTATTATAATGTTAAATACTGATCATTGATAAGAGACAAGCTAGTTCCATCATTTATTATCCATTATTTTAGAATAAAACTTTCAAAAAATTATAAAATGTTATTGTACATGATTTCAAAGGATATAGAAATACTACAATGTCTACACAACAATTATATACATATCGACCTTCGTATGCATATTTACTAAACACTAATTCCAGCTCCATCAGCTAGTAAAGATAATATACCGTCAGGAAGAAGATGCAAAATCTGCAAAGAGGAGTCTTCTCCAGCTCCCAACTTGGCCAGAAGGCAACGCAGAAGTTGTCTTCTCGCAGCGTATGGCTAATAGAGCACTGCCATGCTTTATACGAGCAAGGAATAAAGATGCCTTGGATAGCACGGCGAGTGAATAAGTAGCAAGCTTAACACCTTGTATCCTAAATCCCAAGCAAAGCATTAAGCCCTTTTTGATAGCTAGGAGTTCAGCTACCATAACAGTTGAGGATCCAATATAACCTGAAAAGCCTGAGACCCAGACACCGTTGCAATCCCTTAACATCTCCTCTGCCTGCAGTTTCAGGGTTGGCTAGAGAACTGCCATCACTATTGATTTTAGCGGTGCCGTGAGGTGGAGGAGACCAAGAAATCAGCTGAGGTTCCAGCACCTTGGCATTTCTTCCCATCCCCTCAAAAGCTAGCCGACAGTCCTTATATGATAATGTGTGAATTTGCTGCAGTTGCAAAAAAAAAAAAAAAATGGACAACAAGGAAGTAATTATCTCTTTTAAGAAAAGCAAGATTGCTAAGAAAAAATCATGCACGAGCAATCATCCATTGAGCCAGCATCAAAGAATATACAAAGTGTGTGAGAAAGAAGGTATGTCTCCATATTTCCCTTGCCCATACACAATCTCGCAAAGCACGAATTAAGGTTTCCCTTATTTTTTGGCATACAATATTGTAAAAATTATATTTTTAAAGTTTTTTTTTCAATTCTTGATTAATATTTTAGTTAAAATTATTATATTTTTAATTTTAAAATCAATCTATAAAGAAGAATGATTTATGTTTTTTTTTAAACAAAAAATTTATAAAAACATTAGAAAAATTAATTAAATAAAATATTATAATTAAAAAATTTTAAAATAATTTTATTCTACCGGACCCGCGACGTAGCACAAGCAACCAGCTAGTTTTAACTAAAAGAACAAGCATGTGATTGATTTAAACAGTATATAATTCGTACATCATACTCTTAGCATAACCAGGGACTTGATGAATTCAGAATCACTTGATACATAATTCACAATAAAGGGTTTGGATACAAGATTTCACTTGACTGCTTCAACAAGATGGAAGGGACCTACTAATTTTTTGCATTATATTAAACATTGCATTATTTCACGATATCTACTTTTTTTCGCATACTATTTCTAGCACATGCATTATTCAGCTATTTATTCACTACCTTTTTATTATTCTTTAAGTAGTAACATCCTACCTCTCCTGCTGACATACCACATCTGACTAAGATCACTTTGAAAACAGGGTGGCACCACCATCCATAGGTCACCATAATCGCATACAACAACTAAATCATAGAAATATCCCATGAAGCCAATAGTCCTCCTGAACACCCTTAAGCATCAATTTCACTAAGAATCTAGACACCTCATTCTGGCAGTTTCATCAAATTGTAAGCAATACAACTGAAGAAATTATCATGCAATTCATACAAAGTTCTATTTTGTTTGAATAGAGGCTGCATAAAAGGTTTTCACTTGGTTGAACCATTGCATCAAATAGTAGCCATACCAGAGAGAATGGGAGAACTGTAAGAAAATGCTCCATAATAAAAATTTTAAAAGTTCATTTTAGCGAGAATTAATTAAACTTTAGATCCTCACTGTTTGTTCTGCTGTGGACAACAAAGGAAACAAAGCTCGCATCTTTTTATAGACAAAGTATTTATGTAAGTTCTGGAAACTCTAAAAAATTATCTAAGTCTAGTTTTTATTTTCTGTTTAGAATTTTATTAGTCCTAAGGAGTAATTAGCTTTATTAGGTTTCTCCTATTTTACATAGACTTAGCATTTTCTTATTTAGAGATCTAAGTCCTTAATGGATTTGGAGTACTAGAACTCTGTAAATAAGCATGTAGTCTTTCAATATTTTCAATGACAATTTATGAATAAAATTCAAGCAATGTGCTTTTGATTGTGTAACTCAATCTTCCTTGGATGTGACTCCTAAGAGCCCTAGGTGTGAAGCTTAGATTTTTCTATCTTCTACATGTGAATCCTAGAAACTCTATTACTGTAACTCCTAGTTCTACAATTCCCAGCAAAATTCCACTTTAATACAACCCAATACAGCCCTAAACAGCCTCCAAAGTCAGATCCAGAACAGCCCCCAAGCTGTCCTGTATCATGTTCATTGCTAGAATAGTAGGGACTAATTTATTAGGCTTACAAATTTCATCATAGAAGTTGCTAGTATTAGCAAGCATGGGAATGTACAAATTCACTGCCATCAAAAGCTTTCCCACAGCTTTTGTTCTGTAAAAATATTTCACACTGAAAAATATGAAGAAAAACTCAAAATTTATCCAACTACGAAAGCAAAACATAAACACAATCATCGAACTACCAAAAATGATGGGCCTTTGGATGAAGGAATAGGGTGGATGTTAGTTCACACCTAAAACAATCACATAAAGGAATCAAATATTTCCCTATCATGGTCACATAGGGGTGCTGCAAAAAATTCCCCAAACTTGTTATGCTTCTGCAACTTTATAGTTTCTGGATTTCTTCAGCTGAAAAGGTGTCAGGTAAGGCACTTTAAAAGAGTGCACATGTTGCAGTAGACAATAAAGGAAAGTTTACAAATTCAACAAGGGTATTTTGAAAACTGTAGCACCCATTTATTTTTATTGACATTGAAAACCGTAGATTAGTACCAAGTTTTACCTTGCAAAGAAAGGAAAGTACTAATAGCATCAATAATAACTCTTTGTTTCCAAAACAATTTAAGAATGAAAGTTTGTAGCACCAGAAAAGCATTTAGGACAAGACATGACTTAATTCATGAATAAGAGTATGCCTGGCATGACACTTCATTAAGATGTAAAATCAATCTCAAGAAAAGGTAAGAAAAAAGTGACATCAAGAAGCAGTACCACCCTTAGAAATATAGCAAACTTTCTTGCAATTAATCAGCTCTTTTTGCTTATCTATCATCAATAACCAATTAATGAATAAGAAGGTACTGCTAGCCAGATACTTTCTGGTTTCCACTGTAACAGGTTTTGAGTGGAAATTAGCACGTGAAATTCACCATAAGAATGCAACTCTAGAGACAGCATACCTTTTTAGTTACGCCCTCGGTGGTCAAAAGGTCATAAAATTTGTGATCAGCATTCCATTATCTACCTGCAAACCACAAAGCATGAAATGAACAATGCCAGTTTAAGTTGATAGCCTTTCAATTGAAATTTTTAGCAGGAATTTGCAAACAAAGATGTGTCAAGAAAGCATGTAATTACTTTTTCTGCATGAGCTCACGCTTCTTTTTCGTTGGATTGTTTTTGTCAAAACTTACACAACTTATATTCTTGCTTTTCCTGATAAAATCCAAATCACTATAAATTTGTTAGGCACCATCTAATTTCAGCAAGTTCATGATAACACGAAGTACATGTGCATCCATCCACAGTACAGCCTTGATTACAAACATGATTTCATAAAACCTATATGTATCTAAACTTAAGAATCCAAATAACAAAGATCTACTAAAGTTTTTTCAAGTGCTAGGAAGCTTGTTACACAGTTTTTACCACCTTTATGTTACATACTTCTGTAAAGATATTATCAGACTATAATATCTTTCCAGTGTGTAGAAGATGCATATTATAATACAATGTGAAATTTGATTTGATCATAAAATAACCAAAGAATCAGGTCACGGTTATTATCTGAACTAGTAAGAAAGCCATGTGATGCTTCATACAACCATAATAGACCATAATTATTTCAGGTACAAAAATATATTACAATCATATCACTGTTAGTAGACTGTAATTTGCTTATTAAAATACCCTCATTTATTGTCCACCCCTTTTTTCAAAACTTTTTAATTTACTATCAACAGCAAAAATCTTCAAGAGTTATATCATTAACTTTTTATTTGTCCAATGAATTATAAAGTGACATGTAATGAAGTTTTTCTATAAAGCAATTTTCTATGTAAATTTCTGCAAAATAATTGATAGACATGAAAGGGCAGAGATAATGCATAAGAGAAGATCTACAATCAATTCGGTCAAATGAATCACTGTATTTTTTATTTCAGCCAATTGACTTCAATTTGCCAAATTTGAAAATTTATCCCAGGCAATTGAAGAGTCTTCTACTCTACTCTACGTCATTACCATCAACTTTTCTTTCATTCTCATTTATATCATCACTCACCTCAATCATTCCTGCCCTGCTCATTGAGCATTGTTTTCAACTTGGCAACTTGTACTCAATTGGCTGAAAATCAAAATACACAGGGCCTTTTTTGACGAATTGGAAAAAAAACAAGGTGCAAAGAAAGGGCTCCACCCAAGACTACTAATTAAATTGTATGCAAAGCAATACAGTTAGAAACATATGCTTGGAAAATAACATGAAAAAATCCCTAAAACCATCAATCAGATACCAATACAACTAGACTAAAACATCTTCTTCACTCACAAAAATGGAAAAACAAATGAAAACAGAAAGCAACTGGATTCTTGTGAACAATGCTCCTCTTTGCTCAGTTACATGCAATCATTTTCTACTTAAATCCATCATGAAGAAATTTTCTTGAACAAGTGATAATGAGGATGGAATAGGAATCAAGAATAAGAAAATAAAGCAGAACAACAAATTACTGCATTTTCTTTTCCTTTTAATTGATTTTTCCAAGTAGCATGCAATCTTTTATAGATGAGAAGTTACATGAGGAAAATACTCTCCAAGAGGAGCACTTTCATCATACTTTGTTCCACTTGATGCTCTAATTTTCTACAAAGAGCATAATTATTTACCGACAATGATGACTTACAACTGCAAGGTAGCAAAATAACATGGTCAGTGACATATAAACAGTGGTAGGTTTTGTGAGATCTTGCTACTTCTCTCTGGAGGGAAGGTTGAAAAAGTCAGCTCCCATTGTCATACTATGATGTACTTACACACGAATATATGTACAAACATGGATGTATATGTAGACCAACGTTTCAAACTTAACAAAGCTTGGTACGATTTGATTAATGAAAGACAGAAGTTTAGAGCTCCAAGTTAAATAGTGAATTTCTCAAAATCATTTACCAATGTGCAGTTAAACAGAAACATGTTGGGGGGGGGGGGGACAATCAAGCAGGTATCCACCGCAATGGTCTATATGCAGAGAAATCCATTATCTTCTTTGCTAATTTCTTACAAGAGACAGCACTAACCAAAATTTCATGTTTAAACCAACTATTGCAATTTCCAACAATGCTCGAACACTGTGCAGAAACAGCTCTTACTGTTTTTGGATACAAAGCAATTACCAAAGGATCATTTCAAACATTTGTTGAATAAGAGAAGACAGCAAATAGATACTACATGAAGTCGTGACAGAATATCCACTATATGTGACAAATATGCTTAGCTGACTAGTTGAGCTCTTACTATGTTTTACATGCACAAAGATGTTTCACCCATACACCCAAATGCATAAAAACTTTCATATGAAACAAAAAATGAAGATGCTTAGAGTACAGAACTGATAAATGAAGAAGAGTTTTGTCTTTCACTCTGAGCTCGCATTGCAAATGTTAATAATCACCAAACAGAATCTTTTACCCTCCTGCAAACTATGCCTGGTAATAATTTAGTGCAACAACCAGTCAAGGATAAATGTAGAAGGAACGTATGAACTTCCACTAATGACTTCTTGAAGGCTACGTTAAGTTTGTGTTTTGGAAAATCACAAGTGTTTGTTAAATTTTAACTTGCATTACAGCTCTATCAAATATGGAGTGAAATTTCATTTCCTAAATTGGCGTAATAATGAGAATTCAGTTTGAGAGAGGTTTGATGAAGTAAAACTTTTATAGAAGTGCAGAACTTTTGGATGTGCTGCAATCTTTGATGGAGTGAAACCAGACAGATGTAGGCCATCCAAACTCCTCACTCGAGAAAGCGCCACATAGACCATTCCAAAGCCGAAAGCCCTTGAGAGATCTGTTTGAACATGATTGAGAGTCATCCCTTGGCACTTATGTACGCTGAGAGCCCATGCTAGTATCAAAGGTATCTGATATCTCCAAGAAACAACAAGATCTCCCTCTAGAATTTCAAATTTTTGAGGTTCAATCAAGATTTCTGGTCCACAATCAAATTTAACTAGCGGGTAGAGATTATTAGACCAAAGGCTTCTAGCATTTTTATTCTCCACCGGAACAAATCCTGTAACTGTACCAGTGGCACCATTACAAAGATTACGCCCTATATTCAAATTCATGATCAGCATTACCCTTGCGCCTACACAGAGTACAAGTTGGTCAGGTATGATCCCTTGTTTGAGTTGTTTCTTCCTATGTTCCAAGCCACCATCAGCAGCTTCATAAGTTAGAGAACTCTCACCCAAGCTTTTCATTCTCTCGTCATTTATTTTTTTCACATCATCAATTCTCGGATAGAGCCTGACTACCAAAGAATCCTGCTTGTTAAGGGAGCAAGATTGTTCTAAAAGCTGCAAGTCCTCTGCATCGGTCTCCCCTTTTCTTATACCCTGAAGTATCTTGATAAGCCGAGGATCTGACTGCCTGAAAACCTGAGTAAGCTCAACCTGCAGGTCAAAGCTTTTATTCCAACAATCAGCTTCAAATGCAAATTCTTTGCCTGATAATTTCTGTTGTTTAATAACTGGTGGTAACTGAAAAAAATCCCCACAGACAATAAGCTGTATTCCACCCCATACCACCTGTGATTCCCGTATCTCTCTAGCAATATATTCCAGACTCTCGAACAAACCCGCATCAATCATACTAATTTCATCTATAACCAATGCCTTCGCCTTTTTCCATCTTTTGCAAGCACGCTTATCCAGCATAACCTTATCCAGCAAAGTTCTAGGATCAGCATTTTGGATTCCAATGCCGGCAAAGGAATGAAGTGTTTGCCCTTGAAGTGCACAGGCAGCAATTCCAGTGGATGCCGTGACGAAAACCTTAGACTTTCCATGAACATCCGTCAGAATGTTGAAAATGTGCTTAAGCAAAACTGTCTTTCCAGTTCCGGCAGAGCCCGTTATAAACACCGAAGCACCTCTGTGAACATGAGAAAAAATATTTTCTTGTTCTTGGGTCCATTCAAATAAAGGTTGGTGGGTTTTTTTGGCCTTGTCCATACTACTGGTTTCCTTCTTGCTTTGATTCTTGTAAACATTTTGAGCATATTTTGTGGTTCTGCTGCTACTTTTGGTGCTAAAACTCCTTCTGTATTCAGCTATTATTGCAGTGCTAAAAAACTTCATACTTTAAGCACATTCAACTTCTCTTTACATGCTGAAATAAATAAAACAGAAATCAAAACAATTTGGAAATATTTTATCAACATTAGGCATTGTTAGAATTAAAAGAAAAAATAAAATAAAAGACGCAATGATAAATCATACACAAAACCAATAATTTTTATTCCTAAAAAAATCTGTCTAAATTGGGAAAGAGAGAGAGAGAGAGAGAGAGAGAGACTTAATAATGTGCAAAAGAACTACCTACAGTAAAGCCTTCAAGCATTATCTCACGTCTGCTTCTGATAAAGAAGGAGCTCAGAGCCTCAGATTCTGACCTAACTGGCTCCAGGAAGCAAAACGGTGACAAAAAGAGCGAAATCACAGACAAGGCCCTTTTTTTATTACTTGACAAAGAAAATGAAGAGCGAAAAGCCACCAATCCTTAAGCTCAGACTACGGTGGTTGGCCGATTCTAAAAGGGCTGTAGCCACCAATCCAGCGAATTTTTATTTTTATTGCATTTTATTTAATATATTAAAAGTTGGGCTTTCATGGATTTCATCCCATAATTCTTCATAGGGCCCGCAAGGCCACGAAGCTCATATGGAAATTGGGCTTCATGACGGATCAAAATTCATGAAAAGCCTGGCTTATTTGATAAGCTTAATCCCACCTCTCAATCTCAAATTTAAGTAGGATTGGACACAAAGTTAAAAAGGTCTTGATATGAAATGTATAGTATTAAAGGTAACAAAGCTCCTTAAACCAAAAAAGGACCTTAAGTCCAATAGACCATAGGGTCTATCCCACATCGATACTTAATTTTTGATCCATAAAAGAGATCTAAGTACTAATACACGGCATCCAAAGACCTATGCAAGGGTAAAACATGAAAATAACAAAAAAAAAAAACAACCTCAATCTAA